GCAGACGGGCATGTCGAGCCGCATCTTCAAGTTCACGAGGAAATGCTTGTCCGGTTGCGCAGCGTCCCCAGCGCCCCGGGGCAACAGGAACGAGCCCGCCCCGGTGCCGCCGTTCGACAACAGAGAGAGGCGGCCGTCCTCGTCCAGCAGCGTGTCCAGGAGCCGCTTCTTGTTGGCCTCCGAGGCAGCTTTGCCCCAGCGCCCCTGGCGTTTGTGGTGCGGCTCCCGCAAGTAGTCCAGCAAGTTCAGCGGCTCGTCCCCCAAGGCCCCAGCTTCCCGGAGCGCCCTTTCCGCCTGGGACAGCGCCGTGAGGGTGCGCGGACAGCGGGCGTCGAGTTCCTCCCTGGTGCTGATCCCTAAGCAGGCGGCCACGTCGTGGAGGCAGAGGGCCCAGCTTGCGGCGTAGGCGGCCGGAGCTGTCTGGGAAGCGGAAGGGAATGCGCATCCCCCGCCCGGGAGGCGGAGCGTGGCCCGGAGGCGCTGCGCGTCATTGAGGGGATCCTGGAGGAGGTGCTCAAGAGCCGCGAACAGCACGTTGTCGAGCTCCCCGACCCATCCGGTCTGCAGATTCGCCCGGAGGTGGTGTGTGACGCATCCCTGGCCGTACGTGCGCAGCAGCGTGTAAGAACGTCTCGGCCGTCAAACCAGCGGCTCGCAGCTCCTGGAGCCGAGCGGTAAATTCCCGAGCCCGGCTCACAGCGGCGGCGCCGTCTGCCCCAGCGTGCACCAGAACCCTGTCTTCTTGTTGCTCCAGCCAGGGCGCGGCATTCCCGAGGCACTGCAAGTTCGCAGCGCGGTGGGCACTGATGCCAGGCGGGAGGGGGGCTTGTGGGTCCGCCGTCCAGGCCTGCGTCTTTGCGGGGTTGACGGTAAGGCCGAGGCGCGCGAGCTCCTCAGGAACCAGCTGGGCTGCCGCAGTGGCGTGTTCTGGCGGAGAGAATACCATGATGTCGTCCAAGTAGGAAAACACCCTGCACTGAGGAGACAGCTGTCGAAGCCTCACATTGATCGCGTCAAGAGCCCCTGCCACGGTGATCGCGAAGAGAGCCGGCGACAGCGGGCACCCCTGGTCGACTCCGCTAGTGGCCCGCACGAGCGCAGCAGAGTTGTTGTTGTCCCAGAACAGATGCGTGGTCTCGCCGCCGAGCCAGCTGTGCGCGGCCTTGAGCAGCACGGGCGCCCTGACACGCAGGCCGTTGAGGATGTGCTGCCTGGGGAGGCTGTTGTACGCGTTAGTACAGTCGAAGGCAAGAACGACGGCCCGTGGGTCCGCCTCCGTCAGCGCCGAGATGCACTTGTGCATCACCTCGCACCCTCCAGGTTTGCCAACAGCATACTGGTGCGGCCCACACGCGCTCTTTATGTCATCTGAGAAGACGTCGCAGGCAGCCTTGGCTGCGAGGCGGCGCAGCACGCTCCCACACGCAATGGGCCGGACTCCCCCGTTGCGCTTGCGGAGAGCCACCAGCCGCGTGCCGAGGTTCGCCCGCATGGCCTGCGGGGACAGCAGGCCGTACAGAAAGAGGACCGTTACTTTAGCGACGGCGTCGAGTGCTTCCGAGTCCTTCAGGAGAGTGCGCCAGTGTTCGAAGCGCCCCCCGTTGGGCCCAGGTCCAGACATCCGCGGGCTGCGGGCGAGGTGGCGCTTAACTGCCGTGACCAGGTCGTCGTTGGTGTCCGCGCCCGGGAGCGCGAGGTCGGCCGCTGCTGGCGGGGCCGCTCCTGCGGGGAAGAGCGCCTGCAGGTCGGCGAGAGCATCTTCGCCCGTGGCCACAGTGGCCGGCCGGAAACCACGAGTCATGGCCTTGCTGACCAGGCCTTCGCCGGCGAGAGCTTCCACTGCTCTGGCGACTTTCGCGGGCGAGTCAGCGCGCCGAGCTCGCGCCGGTCCGGCTCCCGCCTCGGTGTGCGCCTCTCTCCAGAGCGCCCCCCAATCTCCAGCTTCCGCGAGCCGCAGGCGCCTCGTGAAGATCGCGGCCCAGCCGCCTCTGTTCTTCCCAGCCTTCCTCCCCCCTCTGGTCTTGCCGGGCTTGAAGAACAGGACCCTGTCGAAGAAGGTGAAAAGTTTCTCGGCCCGTTGGAGGGTAGTCGCGTCCCCGCTTTCGGCTGCCTGCAAGAGTCGTTGCGCGACGTGCCCTCGGAGCTGCGCAAACGCACTGCCCACCGCGTCCGGGGCATGTAGCTCAGTAGCCACGTGGTGTCGGAGTTCTTCGTGCTCGACGTTGTCCCACCACGCTAGGTTCCTCGGCTGCTGCACGCCCTCCCCGGGTTCCTCTGGCAAGTCGTCGGGCCTCCCGTCGTCCGCACCAAGGAGGGGAGCGCCGCGGGCGGCTTCTTGTTGGTGTCGCTCGGGGTCTGCTCGAAAGCGCTTGGCCCGCCGCGTGTCCTCGACGTACTGCGCCCTAGTAGTCCGGCCTGCCTGGTCGCAGTGTGCGCGCAAGGCGTCCGCCTGCTCCTGCGGAAGTGCCGCGGCGCCCGCCAGCTGGTCGAAAGGGCCCAAACCTCCTTCAACGCAACGCGGGTGGTAGTACAGCGTGTTCACTTGGCCTGGGTTGAACACGCGCAGCTCGCCCTTCTCGATGCGGTCCCCGCACCCGGCCGCCCTGCAGAGGCACGCCCGCCTTGTGCGCAGCGCGTCCACGGCCCAAGTGGTGACCAGGGCGTCCCGTCCCGACGGCGGCCTGGCTTGCGGGTGCGGGGCTGGCGGCGGCGCCGCCCCCCCGTCGAGCTCTGCGCCCGGGAAAGCTGGCCAGAAGCAAGCGGCCATAAGGAGCAGGCCGACGAGTGGGCTGTCAAGGGCCCCGCTTCCCGCTGCGACTACCCCCGCGCTTCCCAGGCGGCATAACCAGGGGCGAACGTGTATGTCTTTGGCGATGGCCCCCAAGCCGGCAAGGCCGACGCCCGCGCGCCACCCTCCACACAGCGCCGCCCGCGAGGCCATCCACGGCACCGGCTTCCCAGAGACAAGTGCGATGATTTGTATTGCAGGGGCCTGACTGCCGGCGGCGCCGTGGAACAGGCATCCGGCGCACACCGGGAACCACACGTCTGGGCCCATGGCGAAAAGAAGGCCTCGGAGCGCCACCTCGCAAGACATTCTGGTCAGGCCGAACACCGCGTCGAGGGAGGCTTCGGCCCAGGGCCCCAGTGGCGGACGCCAGTCTGGAGTGCCTGGGGCTGACGAGCTGCCGCCGGAGTGGCCTGCCTGGGCCCCCGACGCCACGGCCGCACACGACCGCACGTGGCGTAGGTAAAACAACTCGGCGCTGCTGGTCCGGTGGCCTCGCGGAGGCGTCTCCAGGGAGCGCGTGGCCCACAGCCTGCCGATGCGGTTGCTCCCCATCGTGACGATGTCGTGCTCGTAGTCGAGGCCGCAGGCGCTGGTCGAGCTGCTCTTCTCGGTGGTGCTGCTCCCGGGTGTGGACGTGCTGCTCACTGTTGTACTTCTGGGTCTGCGTGTGGATGTCCACGTAGAGCTGATGCTTGCTCTCCTGCTGCTCGCTGTTGCGCTGCTGGTCCCACTCCCAGATGTCAGCCCAGAGCTGCACTCCTTCATCATGTTGCCCCTGGCATCGGCCGTGCTGTTCTCTGTCCGGCTCCTCCTCCGTCTGGTGTGACCCAGGACGTCGTACTCACCCTGGAGGTCCCAGTCACCTGCGCCGTGCCGTTTGTTGCCATGATGCTGCACGACCCGTGCAGACCTCTGAGAGGGGCCCGGTGGGCGTCCCAAAGTCGTCGAGAGGCTCGGCGAAAGCGCTGGCGGGGGCCTGGGTGGCGTCCTGGGAGAGGGCGCGGGGGCGGGCGAGGGCGATGGCCCTGGCGCCGACGTAGGCGAGGCGGACGGTGGGGCTGGAGGAGAGGGCGTGGCAGTGCTCGTTCCGCTGGTGGCCAGGCCGCTGGTCCCGCTAGTCCCCGTTGTGCTCCTCGGCGTCGTCATGCTCGTCTGCGTCGTGCTGCGCAGCGCTGTGTTGCTCGTCTCGCACGTGGTCCAGGAGGACGTGGTGCTCGTTGCACTGCTGATCCCCGCCGTGCTGCTCATCGTCGTCGTACTCGTCTCCATCGAACTGTCCAACGTTGTGCTTTGGGTTATACTGCTCGCCAACGTGCTGGGCGTAGTGGCACTGCTGTTCTCGGTCGTGCTCGTCACAGTCGTGGTGCTGCTTTTGGTTGTACTGCTCGCCGACGCGCTGGGCGTGGCGGTGCTGCTGGTATCGGTCGTGCTCGTCCCGAACGTGGTGCTGCTGTCGGTGGTTCTGCTGGCCGACGTGCTGGGCGCAGTGGTGCTGCTGGTCTCGGTCGTGCTCGTCACACTCGTGGAGATGCTCTCGGTCGTACTGCTCGCCGACGTGCTAGGCGTAGTGGCACTGCTGGTATCGGTTGTGCGCGTCACACTCGCTTTGCTGCTATCGGTCGTACTGCTCGCCGACGTGCTGGGCGTAGTGGTGCTGCTGGTAGGGGTCCGGCTCGTCACAGTCGTGGTGCTGCTCTCGCTCGTACTGCTCGCCGTACGTGCCCTCCCTCCCTCCTCCCTCCCCCTCCCTCCTCCTCCTCCTCCTCCTCCCTCCTCCTCCTTCCTTCCCCTCCCTCCTCCTCCTTCTCCTCCCTCCTCCTCTCTCCTCCTCTTCCTGCTCCTCCTCCTCTCCTCCCTCCTCCTCCTCCTCCCTCCTCCTCCTCCTCCTCTCCTTTTCCTCCTCTCTCCAGTCGCCCATTCATCGCCGATCGGGGCTCGGATGCGTCACCCCGCCCAGGAACGTGCGGTTTCACAATCGGGGGGGGGGGGGGCAGCGACGCACCCAGACTCGAGCCGACGGCAACGGGGGGGAAGCCTTGGGGTATGGGAGCCTACAGCGCTCCCGTGCCCGTGTTAGACGTGTGTTCGTTTCCACCGTGTTCAGGTAAAGCATCTTCTTGCCATCACGTCCGTTTTCATAGTCTCCTCCTCCTCCTCCTCCTCCTCCTCCTCCTCCTCCTCCTCCCGCTGCGGCGAGCGCCCCCCGAAGGAAGACGCTGCGGCACCCGACCGTGGCGAAGCTGCCCGACGGCACCGCGCGACGCCCGCCGCTCTCTCCGCCCGCCAGTTGCAGGGCGCCGCCGCCGCCGCCCGCGCCGCAAGCTTTTGGGATGGGGCCTGGTTTCGCCCCAGAACGGCGGCGTCGGGATTCCTCTCGCTTCGCGGGGTGCACGCCCGGACCACGCACAGTCCAGGCATCGTGGGGACCCTTGGGGGGCCTCTGTGGGGACCTCTTGGAGGGTTTCTTGGAAGCCTTTTGGGGCCGTCTAAAGGCGCTCTTGCGCCGTCTGGCCCCTTCGGAGGTCGTCTCAGAGGCCTCTAGGGCTCTAGGGGCCACCTCGGGGTCGTCTTGGGCCGTCTTGAGGGCTTCTTGGGCCGTCTTGTGGGGCTCTTTGGGCTATGTTGGGGTGCTCTCGGGCCGTCTTGGGGCCCTTTTGGGCCGTGTCGGGTCCATCTTGCAGGGGCCCCCGAGAGTCCCAAAATGGGAAAACGCTTGCATCCTCTCTCTCACCCCCGAACTGCGGCGCCGTGATTCACTGGCTTGCGCCAAGCCGCCGACCCCTTCGGGCCCGTGGATGCCAAGATCAATACCTGATCATCGGAAATCGAGTGACGTGTTGCTGTTCTTCTTCTCTCTTCTCTGTTCTCCATTTCTTCCTCCTCCTTTCCCCTCCCTCATTCCGCCCCCGCCCCTCCGATCGTCGACCCTCCTCGATCTCTCTCCCTCCTCCTCCTCCTCCTCCTCCTCCTCCTCCTCCTCCTCCTCCTCCTCCGCCTCCTCCTCCTGCTTTCCTCGATCCGTGCTCCCATCGATCTTCGATTGTCAAACGTCGATCCTGCGACAACGCCGCCCCAGAAGACAGTCACCCAGGGCCCCGAGAGCGTGAAGAACTGCTCTTGTACACCTGCGAGGGGTCTTTCGCCTCTCGTCCAGGCCTCTCTCTCTTGGAGGCAGTTTGAAGTCGCTAGGGGGCCGTTTGGGAGCCTCCAGGGGGCTCGTTTGGGCATATTAGAGGTCTCTCGGGACTCTCCTGGGCCGTCTTCCTCTCCTCTTGGGCCGTCTCGGGGCCATCTTAGGCTATCTTAGGCCCCTCTTGAGGCTCTTCTGGGCTATCTTGGGAGCCTCTTGCGCCGTCTTGGGACCATCTTGGGGCCATCTTGGGCTGTCTTGGGCCCCTCTTGGACCGTTCTGGGGTCATCTTAGGCTGTCTTGGGCCCTCCTAGGATCCTTCTGGGCTGTCGTGGATCCCTCTTGGGCCGTCCCGGGGCCGTCTGGAACCGTCTTTGGGCCCTCTTGGGGGCCTCTGGGCCCATCGTGGGTCGATCTGGAAGGCCTGTAAACTTTAAACGGAGAAGGTTAAAGGCGAGGTATATATCGAGCATGCACCGCTGCCGTGCCTGGCTCAAGCCGGGCCCGGCCAAATATATGACTGTGCCTCACCGAGGCGCACGACTGGTATCTGAGATCGGAAAATACCTTTTCCATTGAAGATGCCCCTTCTATCCTTTACTCCAGATCCCATGCTTCGTCTTGCTCTCTTGCTCATGCGATATGAGCCAAAGCCTGGGATATGGCAACGCTTAAAGCGTAACACATACCTAAGCTTACCAGTTGTTTTCGACTTGGTAGCGGAGCTGGCTACACTCTCGTGTGGCTGGCTCTCGCTCTGATTCCTGTAATCCACGGCACAACTTGGTGGACTACTACTACGGTGGAATACCATGTTGCGCCGGCTCTGCGAGGAGCGGAGCCAGTCCGCGATCGAGCTAGCGGGGCAACCCGCGAGCTCGAGACGCTCTCTCCTACTTCACTGCGCTACTTCACTCTCGACTTCCACCAGATGCCAATCGGCAACTCGATCGAGAACGTGGTCACCCTGCGGGGCTACCCGCAGCGGGGCCACCTGCATCCCGTGCCAGTCAGGCGCCTCACGGCTACTACGCCAGAGCCTGACAAACCACAGCCTAAACCAATCACCGAAGCCGAAATGCACATGCACTGGATTAAGATAACTATCTTCGGCATTCTGTGGGTAATAATGGGATGTGCTGTGGGATACATGCGGCAGGGGATGGACGACACGCGTACTACTGGCCCTTCATGGGACCCTGCCGGTACTACGCCTTTTCGCGAATACGTTCGCGAAGTACATGCATGGATAAACGTAACGAGCGGCAATATGACGCCACCTCAACAAGCTGCAGCACTACAACGAGGCCTTCAAGGTCTTGCTCGTCGTATCGCCATGCAGGTCCCCTCCCAGATCATCAACTATGGTGTAACTGTCAACGGACAGCCAACGGATGCAGTTACTTATATACTGTACCTATTGAGCACCAAATTTGAAAATCTGGAAGATGAGCGCCAGCTCAACTCTGGCACTGCCCTTATCGACTTTCGCGTCGAAAGGGGCGAGCGAATCGACTCAGTGTTAGCTCGATTCGAGATGGCCCGTGACGAGGCTAACTCTGTTGGCTTTGTCATCCCCAACTTTCAGATCCTAACGCTGATCCTTTTCAGAGCGTTAGGCGTTGGCGCGTCACGAGCCCAACACCTGCTGGAGCCCTTTAATCATCAGATGCCCAGAACACAAGCAGACTATGACAGGCTGCTGACCAGGATGAGGAACTACGGACATGTTGCCGAGCGCTCTCCTGGCAACATTGCGGGTATCTTCACAGGGCACCACTCACATGCAGGTGTCTACGCCACGACTGCGGGGTCACCCGCTGGTCCTGGCGAGCCAAGTCCCTGGGCTGACCCAGCCGATATGCCCAACGAGGCCACTGCCTTCTTAGGGCAGACCGGCCAGGCATCGGCAGAGGCAGCTGAGGCGAACGCCTGGTCGAACTACTCGCCAGGCGCCGCCTACACTGCAAGCCCGCCCTCGGGCACAACCCTCTGGGGCCAAGCGGAGTCATCCGCTCAAGGGTCTCAGCCACCCTCACCGTTTGAATCTGGCACTGACACAGATACCTCATCTGACGATGAGCACAATGGCATAGTCTCTGCTGGTAATGACTATCCAGCGGATGACACTCACCTTTCTGAACAACAAAGAGCGGAAGCCGCTTTTATGGCTTATCGCAAATCAAAACGCCGTTGGAGGCGCTTTATGAAGAAACCAGTCAGAAAAGTGAGACGTGCAGTACGCCGACATTTCAAACGATATGGAAAGGGTCGTGGCAAAGGGGGTCGCAGACGCCGTATGCATGGTAGGGGTATTACTGCTTTCCTCACGTCCTTAACTGATATAGTTTTTGAAGAAGTTCTTATCGGAGGCAAAGGTCGGGGTCACAGGCGGACCTCTGGTAAGGGAAAAGGGCGGAGGGGCAACCCTAGGGACGCTTCTGGCAATACTATGAAGTGTCATACATGCGGTAGCACAGAGCATTTGCGCGATCATTGCCCGAAGGGGAAAGGAAAGGGATCCGTACATTTGGCTCAAAACTCTTTTATGGATGACATAGACTACATTGACTACGAGTTTTACGTCAATCCAGAAGCGGCTCCCGCCGCGGGCTCCTCCACGTACTACGTGATGGCCCGCTACGCTGATGTGACCGTAGCCCTGGAAGAGTACGCGGTGACCCTCTTCGACGAGTTCCACGGCTGGGACGAAGTCGACGAGGTCGCGTTCAATGCCTGGTTCGGTCTTCCAGCGGGGCCACCCGCCGACGACGAGATCTCCGAAGCTGAGACCGTCCCGGCGACCGAGGAAGAGCTCGCCGCCGCGCTGGCACCGCAGGTGATTGGCATGCCGTTGCTGCCAGATCTTCCGCGAGCTGGCTCGGAAGCGGGAGACGCTGATGACGAAATGCGGGGCCATCCCGCGTATTCTGACTCCGAAGAGGCCGAAGAGGACTATAAGGACATGCTCCAAGAGCAGGTCGCAGAAGCAATCCGGCTCCTGAGTGCGCCAGCACATCAGCAGATAACCATGAACGACCTGCTGTCGCGCCCAGGGGCCGCAAGGCTGCGTCCATACCTGGATTCGGACATGTCGGCACCTCAGATGCTGACAGCACTCCAGGCTCTAGCGGGGTCACCCGCCGAAGTGACGCCAGCCGCAGCAGCGGGGCCACCCGCTTGGTCTATGGATGTATTCATGCAGGGCTGCGACCAGATGGACCTCAACGACCTCGCGATGGAGCAGCTCAACGACATCGGGTACTTCCGAAGCCCGTATCAGCACGTATTCATGGCCCAGGACAGCTCAGAGGACTCGGAGGACATGCGCCATGCCAAGAGGGACAGACGACCATCGCCTCCCCGAGACTCAGAGCACGACGATCAAAGGCCCATGGAACGTGGCAGTGCGTCAGCGGGGCCAGCCCGCAGAAGGAGCCGTTCAGCTCCACGACGCCCTGCACGTGATGCATCGGGCTACCCGTACAGTACGGAGCACTCCGTAGGTGCATCCGCTCAGTACGTGCCGGAGTGGTACATCAATTGGTACCCCGGCTACTCGATGGACGTGATCCGCCACTGGTATTCTAAGGAGTACTGCACCAAAAGGGACGAATCTGGCATGATAATACGTACCAAGGGTGGCAAGACCAAAACGCCAGAGGCTTGGGACAAAAGGGCTAAGAAACAGGAGATCATCAACGATCGCAAGACATACAGGAAACAAGTATGTCAGTGCGAGCCCTTCAAAGGTCACATGCGCAGCTGTCCAATGGACCGCCCCTCCTGGAGTCCTCATCACGGTGAGACCCCGTGGAATTGGTCTCATGGAGATGACGCTGGCAACGTCCATGATCCTAATAAGGAGGTCCCTGGAGGAGGAAAGCGCATCACTGAAGCCGATCGCGTCCCTATGACCGAGGAGGTTGCCAACGCTGTCAGGGAAAATTGGGTACAGCTTCCCAATGACCATCGCCTCAAGGAATGGAACCGCCGATTCCATAAAGAGGCGGGGTCACCCGCAGGATCCAGTAAAGAAGCGGGGTCACCCGCAGACGCGGCGCCCGCCGCTGGGTCCGCGGACGAAGATTGGATAGCTGTTGCATCTGCTGCTGGGTCCGCCGCCGGCACT